GGTAGAGGTCAGCTGACATTGGTGATTTTCTATAATAAATCGATAACGGTCTTCATTTCAAAACCTTTGTTTACTATGAGCCTTACATTGAGCTAACTTGTGCGAATGACAAAATTAAGATGCATATTACATTTATAAAACTTGTGTGAGAGTATGAAATTTGCACACGATTAGGCTCGTACTTAAAATATTAAAAATGTATAAAAAGTACAATATTTTTCCTATAGCAAGTGAGAACTATTTACCTGTATGACCTATGTTGAACCCACATGTGGAATAAATTATTTAAAATACCAATAGTCACGTAAGTTCTACCCAGGTAAACATTCCTCAAAGGTGCTCACTGTAAAACATAGGCAGGTTTTGTTTCAGTAAGTCAAAGCTGTACCGCTTAGAGATGTTTATATGTATTTCTTTTTAAGAACACAGGAGGGTAAGGAGATCTAAGTGTCGTTCATAAAGTGTCTAACATTTTTAACTTTAATGCAAGACAATGAAACAGGTATTGAAAGCCACCTATAACACTCCTTTTCAATTTCAAATTCAATGAAACTATTAATGTTATTTTTCAAATGCAAGAGTACCAATTTCTTAGTTTAATCATTTTAGATACAGGCAACTACACAACTTCATTCCATATTTTTTGAAAACAGGTTTGGCGCAAGAAATATCATTCCGCAAACGTGCCCGACTATGATCCACCATCAGATTGTTAAAGTATTGATTTAAATATCAATTCCCTTGATTTACATAAACAAAACTAAAAGAAGGTTCGGTACGACTTTGCCGGATTTATAGGGTATCCATAGGCCTTTCAAAATATTCAATTGTTTCAAATCCATGCTGATTTAAGTGGCGCTTAACATGCTTTTTAATTAGAAATATCCAATAGTATCTAACTATTACCAATAGAGAACAATTTGGTAATGTACACATCAAAATAGCCCATCAAGTATTGCTTAAGTGCACTTGTCCTTTGTACAAATGAAGTGCAACACCCTCATTCAAAGGTAGATAATTGGGAATTTATGAAAATTTGGTGGCATGTTTTAAAAATCTTCTTCTCAAGAACAGCTATACCAGGAAAGATGAAACTTATAGGGAAACATCCTCAGGTAGTGTAAATTCAAGTTTGTTCAAGTCATGACCCTGGGGATAGGGTGGGGCCAAAATGGCCGACCAAAGTTTTACATAGAGATATATATATAAATTCTATAAAAATCTTCTTTTCAAGAATAACAAAGCCATAATTGATCATATTTATATGGAAGCATCCTTAGGTAGTATAGATTCAAGTTTGTGCAAATCATGACCCCAGGGGGAAAGGTGGGGCCAAAATGGCCGACCAAAGTTTTACATAGGAATATATAGGAAAATTCTTTAAAAATCTTCTTTAAAAAAACAAAGCCATAATTGATCATATTAATATGGAAGCATCCTTGGGTAGTGTAGATTCAAGTTTGATCAAATCATGACCCCCGGGGGTAAGGTGGGTCCAAAATTGCTGACCATTTTTATATAAAACATTAAAAATATATAAGAACATTCTTTAAAAATCTTCTTCTCAAGAATAACAAAGCTATAATTAATCATATTTACATGGAAGCATCCTCAGGCAATGTACATTCAAGTTTGTTCAATCCATGAGCCCTGGGGGTAAGGTTGGGCAACCATGGCTGATCAAAGTTTAACTTAAAAATATATCTAGGGAAATCTTGAAAAAAAAAATACATTAAGTACTGTAAAGCCATGATTAGTGATAGTTTTATGGAAGCATGCTCAGATACTGTATATTCTAGTTTGTTCAAATCATAACCCCCAGGGATAGGATGGGGCCACAATTGGGGATCAAATTTTTATATTAAAATATACATGTATTTATAAAGTGTTTTTCTAAAGAGTAGCAAAGTCGTGATATTTATATGGAAGCATCCTATGGTAGTGTAGAATTAAATTTGTACAAATCATTACATCCAAGGGTAGGGAAGGTTCTCAATGGTGGATCAAAGTTTTACAAAGGAAAAAAAAGAGAAAAATTCAAGTAACGGAAAAGTTATGTTAAAAGACTTATGATATATTTACATATAAGCATTCTCATGTATTGAAGATTTTAATTTTTTTAACTCAAGAGTATCCTTTTAGGTAGGGATCTTTCTCTCACATGAAATTATAAAATTTAAATTATTGGACGGATGTATCATGCTGTGCCGTAGCACTTTATTCTCTGTGTGTGTTCTGATTCATCCAAGTGAGTGGAAAGCTTATTGGGTTAATGTCGTGTAGGTGTGTTAAATGATGGTCATTTGGCGCCCAACTGCATGCACTTGCGGGTGCTTGCAGTAAGTAAAATGTTTAGTAGACTTAAAAAGCTGAATCTCTGGTCTTATTTTGTTTCTTATGAATTGCATTAAACTTGTAACATATACAGTGGACCCTCATTTATCCGGACGCTTTGGTTCCCAGTCACTTTGTCCGGATATGTGAAGCGTCCGGATATCTGAATCACCAGTTAAACAAGACAAAATAACATTTGAAAATTTCGTTCCTATGAAAAATCGTCCGGATACTGAAGCATCCGGATATCTGAGGGTCCACTGTATAATGATTTTATGCAAATTAGCGGCAATGAAAATATATTTTGCTCTGACTGCCTGTTTTTCTACACAAAATTTTGAATTTAAAACAGTCATACATGTTATATCTAAGCACAATTGTATTAAAGTATTCCAGATGCCAATAATCTGGTGCATATATATTGGGAACTAATATCTTCCACAGTATTTTGTCTCATTACCCAAGATATTTACATTACAGAACTGGACGGTCAATTCCTACAACAATACAAAATATTTCATTGCAAAGTAATTACCCGGTATTCAGACTGTCATTTTTCAGGGAACACTTTTTCACACCTACACATGTCTTGGAGTAGTGATAATTGTGACAAGTTAAAAAAAATGTTCTGTGAAGTTCATTTTTACCTCACTTGAGCCGAAGGCTTAAGTGAGCTATTCTGATCACGTTTTGTCCGTCGTCCGTCTGTCCATGTGTCTGTCAAATTTTTGTCAGTTTTCTCAACAACATTTGGCGTCCAACTGCATGCACTTGCGGGTGCTCGCAGTAAGTAAAATGTTTAGTATACTTATATAGGATACATTTATGATCAAATCCATTGTTTTAATGATCAAATCCATTGTCAACTTCCTGTTTATCTGTGTGTCTGTCCATTTGATACAAAACACAAATTTCTGTCACAGTTTTCTCAGCAACTACATATTGCAAATGCTTGAAATTTTACAACAATCTTCTCTGAGGCATACCATAGGGTGGGATACATTTTTGTTCAAATCTGATGCCAACTTTCTGCTTGTCTGTACATCGTACGTTTCATACAATACAAATTTTTATCGCAGTTTTCTCAGCAACAACTTATCGTTGATGCTTGAAATTTTAACACAATCTTCTTGTAGCATACCATACACTTTTGTTCAAATGCGATGTCAAATTCCTTTTTGTCTGTGCCTCTGTCCATTTGTTCATATGATATGAACATATCATGACCATCGGGTGTGGGATTGGTCCACAATGGCCGATCAAAGTTTTCCAAAGGAATATATAGGGGAAATCTTTAAAAATGTTCTTCTCAAGAACCAATAGGACAAGAAAGTTAAAACTCATGTTGAATCAAATAGTGTACATTCAAGTTTTTTTTTTTTTAAAATCTTGACCTCGTGGGGTGGGAAAGGGCCGCAATGGCTGATTGATGTTTTACATAACAATATATAGGGAAATCTTTTAAAAAATTCTTTTCAAGTTCTTTAAAAAGCCATGATTGCTGATATCTTTATGGAAGCATCCTCAGATCCTGTAGAATCAAGTTTGTTCAAATCATAACCCTCAGGGATAGGGAGAGGCCACATTGGGGATCCAAGTTTTACATTAAAATATACATGTACACATGGATTTAAAAAACATCTTTTTCTAAAGAATGGCAAAGCTATGATTAGTGATATTTATATGGAACCATCCTCATCAGGTAGTGTAGAATTAAATTTGTTGAAATTATAACCTCCAAGGGTGGGGAAGGGTTTCAGTGGTGGATCAGAGTTTTACATATGAGATAAGTAACAGAAAACTTAAGTCATATTGACATGTAAGCATCATCATGTATTGGAAGTTTTAAATTTGTTCAAATCATGAGTACCCTTTGGGTAGGGAGGGAAATGAAGGGGAGTCAAATTCAAATTATTACAATGTAATTTATACAAACAAAATGCCAAAAAAAAAAATCTTTAAAAATCTTTGAGAGTTATATCCAAAATTGATATGGAGGCAATCTCAAGTAGTATTAGACTTCAAGTCCTCTCCCTCCCACACAGTAAAATTTCCGATTGTAATCTGATATGTTCATTTTCATAGGCGATGTGATCAAGTGAGCAATGTAGTCCCTGTGCTTCTTGTTAAAATCAAGTTTAAATCATGACCTAGTAGTAGGGTGGCCACAATAAGCAATCGATTGATTGATTGTATATTGTTTAATGTCCCTCTCGAGAATTTTTCACTCATATGGAGACGCCACCACTTGCCAGTGGAGAGCTGCAAATTTTGTCCTATGCTCGGCACTCAGGGCCATTGAGCATGGAGGTATCTTTTTTGTGCCAACACCTCCTTCGACACGGGACCTCAGTTTACATGGTCTCATCCAAAGGACCGGTCTCCACGTCACACACTGGGATTCGAACCCGCAACTTAAGGATTGACTCCTTACTTCGCGACTCTAGAGCAGATGCTCTAACTACTCTGCCACGTGGGCCACAATAAGCAATTGAAGTTTAACATTAAAGTACTAAGTAGATATCTGAATTGTCCTCTCAAGTACAGTAAAGCCCTGATCAGCAGTATTAATATTTAACCATCCTTAGATAAAATAAATTGAATTTCATTAACTCATCATGCAGGGTAAAGAAAATATAAAAAGGTCTATTACTTGTATTTTTTAGATGGCTAAAAGAAAGGGATTTTCAGGCCGAAAACAAAGAGAGAAAGATAGGGAGCGGAAAAGACAGAAAAGACTTCAGCAATCTCTGTCCTCCCAGCCACCAGATGATCAGATGTCGGAGTCTGCTGTTCCTTGCGGGACAGTGGACGGAGCTGTTTCAGCTCCTCCCGGTAATCTTCCGGGGCAAGGCTCCATGGGGTTGCCGCCTATTGAGGAAAAACCCCTGGCCAGGGTGCAGGCCTCACCTAGTGTGAAAATGCACTCAAATGCCCCGAGGTTGTCATCTCCTCGGGGAAGTCGTCTGGAGGCCCAAAACGGGGCATTGGCACCGACCCCTGACTCCCCAGCGTGGGTTTGTACTCCAGCGAGGGTACCTGGGCATGTTGATGGCTTTAAGCCTAGCCCAGCAGGTCAGACGCAGCTGGATACCTCTGGGATGGAGGAGACCAGTAGTACACTAAAAAAAGATGAGGGCTTTAAAGACAGTATTCAAACAGTTTTCTCACGTGTCTCAAATGTAAATCTGAACAGTAAAAATGTGAAAGTTGAGATGAAACAAAACAAGAACTTAGATTATATGTATGGTGAACAACAGAACAAGAACCAAGCAAATATGTGTAAGAATCAGGAGAGCAAAGAGACTGAGAGTAGTTATGAAAGTCGAGAGAACAAGAACTTATATCATAATGAAACAGTACACACGAATGACAGTTCAAAGTATGTTCAAGGTTCATTTCATCAAGGAGATCCATTGTTTCAAGACAATGCAGGAACTCAGTGTGTTGCAAATTGTTTGGCAGGGTTATCATATCACAAAGTGAAAAACAGCAAGTTCTGGAATACAGTGGATATGAACAAAATTTTAATTACTGGTGATGAATTGTACACTTACTTGCAAAGAAGCTCATCAATAAGTAATAGGTACTTGTTGGTAGAGGAACTACCTCAACTGTATGAATGCTTTGATCATTCTTATGAATTTGGAACAAATGAGACATTATCGAGTGTGATTTTATCTGACGATGGTTTCAACTTTCTTGAGTTTGGTGCATATTCACTAGATGAAGCATTACATCTTGCTCTTTCTGAAACTGATGGATGCTTTATATGCTTTGGTGGAAATACATTGTTGATTGGTAGTTCAGGAGATGGGTATTTTTCATTTGATTCCCATTCTAGGTCTTCAGAAGGATTGTTAAGTATTAACGGGAAGAGTACAAGGATTCTTTTTCAAGATTTAGCACAAGTGCGTCTTCATATTCAATCTCTGGCTATTTCTATGGGGTATTTTAGAAATGTTGAATGCAATGTTACTGGTGTCAACTGTAAAGTGAAAAACATTTTGGGGGCTAGATGTAATGTGAGACAAATGGGCAATAACGTTGATCATTCTGCTGAAAGTTCGAGTAAATTTCAAAGAAATGAAAATGATTCAAAAAGTGAAGATGAGGAGTTGTGTTTTGTTTCTGTTGAGTGCGAACGGTTCTTTTTTGTTCCTCTTGTCTCTGACTTGAAACAGAAATTATGTCAAAATTTAAATCTTCCATATATTTGTAACAACAGGGAAGTGGATAGCCATTCTCCAGTAAAGGAACTTACGGAACCTTGTTCTCGAAAAGAAATTCTTGGTGATGGCAATTGCTTTTTCAGAGCTATATCCTTTAGCTTGACAAATTCAGAGGATTATCATTGTATGATTCGAAGTGCAGTTTGTAAGCATTTGCTTGAAAATGAGGACGTTTTCCAACCATTTTTAAGAAATGGAGAAAATACTGTTAAAGAGCACATTTCTGTCTCATCAATGTCACAGAATGGGAAGTGGGCAACCGAGTTGGAAATTTTAGCAGTGAGTCATTTGATGAATATTGACATTTTCACATATACAAGAAGTCAGTGGCTGAGGTTTTCAATGGGGAAAGCGGGTTCACCCATAAGAGAAAGAACGGGTGCAATATACCTAAGTCATGAATCACAGAATCATTACAACGTAGTTACTAATGTATGTGATAAGAATGTTGAGGTGACACACGAAACACTGAGTCATAACAAATCTTGCAAATCATTTGCTCCAAAGTACAACCAAAGAAAAACGAAAACTCGTCAAAGAATACAATCATATAGAGAAGTAATTTTTACAGAGATAATAGAAAAACAAAATGCTGCTGAAAAGCGAAAGCAGTCATTACGTAGAAAGTACCAAGAGAATAGTGAATTTCGGGAAAAGAAATTAGGAGCAGCTTACACCAAGTACAGAGATGATGAAGAATTTAAGTCTGCAGTCAAAGCAAGGAACCGAGAAAGGTATAGAAAGGATACTTTGTACAGGAGCAAAACAAAGTCTCGGAGAAAGAAAGAGTATACAGATAATGAAGAAAACAGGAAAAAATCAATAGAAGCAAGTGTGAAAAAATATATGACTAATGCTGTACATAAAGAGAATGTTAAAGCCAGAAGTGTGTCGAAATATAAGACTAACCCTGTTCATAAAGAGAATGTAAAACTGAAAAGCACAGAAAAGTACAAAACTGATGCTATATTTAGAGAAGATATCAAAAAGAGAGGAATGGAAAAATATAGAAACGATGAATTGTATAGGGAAAACATGAAAAAGAGAAATGTGAAGAAGTACAGAAATGATGAAAAATACAAAGAACAAGTAAAGTTCACAAAGAGATACAAGAATAATAAAAACTTCAGAGAAAAAATTCTGTCCTCCAAAGCGAGAAAATACAGCACAAATGATCTTTTCAGATCAAATATGAAGGCATGTAGTAAGAAACAGTATAATTCTAGTGCTGATGCTAAGATATTGAAGAAAAAGTATATTAAGCAGCAGAGGGAAGAAAAACAAGAAAAGTTAAAATGTGAAGACAGTGTATTGAGATTATTTAAGGAAAATTCTCTCCAAGGTATCGATTATGTGTGTTGTTGCTGTCATCGTTTATTATTTGTAAATCAAGTACAAAAATGTGGTCGTCAGCAATATTCTAAAAATGAACGAGCCAAACAAGTTTCAGATTTGTGCATACAAGAAAAGTATTTTCATGATTGCACAGAATCTTGTCCAAAAGGCTGTACCAGGTCATCTTTGTGGATTTGTTATTCATGCCACAGAAAGATTCTTAGTGGAAATATTCCAGCAGAAGCGGTAATCAATGAAATGCGTCTTGAAGATATCCCCGAGGAACTGAGCAATATGAATAATTTAGAGCAACATTTAATTGCTTTGCACATTCCCTTTATGAAAGTGATGGCTCTTCCCCAAGGTGGTCAAAGAAATATACATGGACCTGTAGTATGTGTGCCTTCAGACTTAAAAAAAGCCAGCAATTTACCATTAAAGCATGGTGAAGATTTATTACTGCGAGTGAAATTAAAAAGAAAACTTAGCTATAAAGGGTACTTTGAGTACCAGTTTGTGAATCCAAGACATGTAATTACTGCTCTTACTTACTTAAAGCAAAACAATAAGTGGTATGAAAATATCAAAATCAATGAAAACATGACTGAAAACTCGACAGAAGACAACATTAAGGAAGAAGAAAACACAGACGAAATGCATGACACAGGGGTCATTAGTGAAAATGAAGAACACCATCAAATTGCAGTTGATACTTGCCTACAGCCTGTTGATATTGCTCAAGAAGTTCTGGATCATTATTTTTATGACATTTACAACATTGCACCAGGAGAAGGAAAAAATCCAGTGCGGATGTTGCAGGAACCAGGAAATGAAGCTAAAGCGTTTCCCTGCCATTTCCCAAGTGGAAAATTTACTTGGAACGAAGACAGAAGCACAAGAATAACACTTTCCCGATATTTCAATAACAGACTTATGAATGCAGATAATAAGTTTGCAAAAGATAGCAGTTATATATTTTTCAGCCAGTTTATGTCAGAATTGAATCAAGTCATAGAAAAAACGCAGATTTCAATTCGAAAATCGGTATCAAAAATGGGAACTGAGAAATTAGTGACTTCAAGCATGGTGCAAGATCCAAAAATTCTCTCAAAGTTGTTACAAAACGATGAAGCATTGAGGTTTATGCAGCCGATCCGAGGAACACCAGCATATTGGTCAGCTGCTCAAAAAGACCTTTTCGCAATGCTCCGCCAGTTAGGTATTCCAACCTGGTTTTGCTCTTTCTCTGCTGCTGAACACAGATGGAATGATGCAATTAGAACAATATTGAGACAGCAAAATGATGTTAGAGATCCAGAAAACTTAGATTGGTCTGAAAAAAATGAGACATTAAGAAAGAATCCAGTGACTGTTGCAAGGATGTTTGAACACAGATTTCACGTCTTTCAGAGAGATGTTATATCGTCTCCAGCTCAGCCGATTGGAAAAGTTGTTGATTACTTTCAAAGAGTTGAATTTCAACAGAGAGGATCACCTCATATGCATTGCTTGTATTGGGTAGAAAATGCACCTAAACTAGACGAACATGGAGAAGAGTCTGTTTGCGATTTCATAGATAAATATGTTTCTTGCGAATTGCCATCAGAGACAGAGGATCCAGAATTAAGAAATATTGTCTTAGCAGTACAACAACACAGTAAGAAACATTCAAAATCTTGTAGGAAGAAAGGGACAGAATGCAGATTTAACTTTCCAAGACCCCCCTCTCTACGCACATTTATTAGTTCACCTTATGAAGACGACAGCGCAGAAAGTGGCGAAGAGACTATATCTGGAAAAGACACTGCAAAACAAGTTTTGATGCGTGTCTGGGATGAAGTACAAAACGAGTCAAATGAACTTAAAAGCTCTGAAGAAATTTTTAGCAATCTTTCATTGTCCCAAGAACAGTACGAACATGTGCATAATATGCTGACAAAAAAGAGATCTATTGTCCTTCAAAGAAATCCCAGCGAACTATGGATTAATCAGTACAATCCTTGCCTTTTGAAATGTTGGGATGCGAATATGGATATTCAATTTGTACTTGATCCATTTAGCTGTATTGTTTATATCATTTCGTACATTTCAAAGTCAGAGAGGGAAATGGGGATGTTATTGAAGCAAACAAAGCTAGAGGCAGAAGAAGGAAATCTCGATGCACGTAATACCTTGAAGAAAATAGCATCAGCGTATTTACACCATAGAGAAGTTAGTTCACAAGAAGCTGTGTACAGAGTATGCAATTTAAAGATGAAAGAATGTTCTAGAAAAGTTGTGTTTGTGCCTGTAGGTGAAAATCCGACCCGATTAAGTAAACCACTTTCCCAGCTAAAAAGACAGAAAGGGGAACAGCATGACAATGAAAGCGATCAAGATGATGATGAAAACGAGATCTGGATGACCAATGTAATAGAGAGATATGAAAATCGACCAAATAAACCACAGTTTCATGACATGTGTCTAGCAGAATTTTGCTCAACATACAGAGTCTTGGCTAAATCCCAGATTCCAAAAACTGAAAATGAACATGTATTCGAATTACAAAATTCAAAGGGGTATATACAGAAGAGAACAAGAACACAGCCAGCTGTTATAAGGTATCCAAGGTTCAGTGCAGAAAAGATGCCCGAAAAATATTACCGGTGTTTATTGCAGCTTTTTCTTCCATATTGGAATGATTCACAGCTAAAACCACCAGGATTTGATTTATACGAGGCCTTTTATGAAAATGGTCACATAAGAATCAAAGGTAAAAAACGTATCGAGTCTGTAAAATCAATAGTTGACGTAAACCATGCAAGATATGCAGAAAATGAGGATGTGATTACTGAAGCTCAGGAGACTTTTGAAAGCATTGGAGAACCAGAAGATGCTTGGGCAAGCCTTTGTCCGGAGTCAGAAGCAATGAGGCAGGAATGTATCGAAGAGAAAAAAGAACTCCACAGTCTAGATGATCAAATTAAAGAAGCAATTCCTGATATTCAAAGTCAGACAAATTCTGATGTGCTTTATCAAATTCAGCAGAATAACCATTCAAAGTATGAAGCATTATCCATTCTGAAAAGTCTTAATGGAACACAAAAGGAGGTATTCTACCATGTACGTGACTGGTGTATAAGAAAAATTGCTGGAGATAAACCCGATCCACTCCATATTTTCCTAACTGGAGGAGCAGGTACAGGAAAGAGCCATGTCATAAAGGCCATAGAGTATGAGGCAACACGATTATTTTCTCGGAACATGTCGTCACCAGATAGTTTTTCAGTACTACTGTCAGCTTTTACGGGAACTGCAGCATTCAACATAGGTGGGAATACGCTTCATCATTTATTTTCCTTGACAAAGTATTTGCCATTACCATACCAACCGTTGAAAGAACAAAGTCTAAGCGAGATAAGGGTTCACCTGAAAGACTTGCAGATTCTTGTGATAGATGAAGTGTCTATGGTTTACAAAAGACTTCTTTATTACATTCACGAAAGGCTCGTTCAAATAAAGAAGTGTAAAGAACCGTTTGGCGGTGTAAGCGTTATTGCTGTAGGAGACTTTTACCAACTCCCTCCAGTTAAACAGCGAAAGGATGAGAGACTTTTTAAAGAAAATACTTCGTATCCTGTGGACTATTGGCGAGACTTCTTCCAAGTTGTTGAACTTAGTGAAATTATGAGACAGCGTGAAGATATACCATTTGCGGCAGCTTTGAACTCTCTCCGCATTCGAGAAGCAGATCAACCATTATCAAGTGAAGCACAAGCTATGATACATGATTGTATAAGAGAGGGTCCAGAGGATGTTCTTCATGTATATCCAACAAACGAAGAAGTTAACAATTACAACCTCTCCATGTTAAGGAAAAGCTGCGAGGATCTAATCGAAATCAATGCAAAAGATTACCAGAAAAATCCAACAACTGGAAAACTTATTTTGAGAGAAAAACCATTCACAAGCTCAAAAACAGATTCCCTTTGCAGTACGTTACTCCTGGCTATTAATGCGAGGGTGATGCTTACAAGAAATAGTAATGTGGAAGACGGACTGGTAAATGGAGTGATGGGCTACATTTCTCACATATCATTTGAAAAAGAATCATCTAACATTTCAGCTATAGGAGTGGTTTTTGACAACAAAAATGTTGGTAAAAAATCGGGTAAACAAACACAAAAGGGAAATGTAGTTTTAGTACAGAGAGTTCAGGAAGAGATTGTTGAAAGAAAATCAAAGACATTTGTAAGACATCAATTTCCCTTGCGATTATCCTGGGCATGCACCGCTCATAAAGTACAGGGAATGACAGTTGAAAAAGTAGTGGTTAATTTAGACCGAATGTTTTCACCAGGACAAGCGTATGTTGCACTGACAAGAGTAACATCAAAAAATGGTCTGTTCATCGAAACCAATAATGTCCAAGCATTGCAAAAGAAAGTTTATGCTGATCCAGAAGTGAAACTAGCTCTCGCTGAAATGCCCAAAGCAAAGCTTTCAACATCAAATACAGAAGAAATGGGCTCAAATACAATTATTCTACACAATGTCCAAAGTTTGACTGGTCATTTTTCTGATTTAAAGCATGACGTTCGATTTTATGGAGCAGAAGTTATTTGTTTGACTGAAACCTGGTTAAGACCTGATCAAATCACAACAGAATTTGACTTGGAAGGATTCTCCTTTTATCATACACCAAGAGGAGATGTATATGATGAATACAATGAACAAGTACAAAAATTCAAAGTTTCTAAGGGTGGTGGTGTAGCACTTTACATTAAACGAAATCAAAATCAGAAAATAGTGTGTCGGCTGCCAGTGAAGAATGTGGAAGGAATGGCAGTGACATTTGTTGAAAATGATACAGTTGTCGTTACTGTGTACCGTCCCAGCAATCTTGGTGTGGCTTACTTTTTAGAGCAACTTCAAAAAATAATAGAATATTTTAGATTGCAAAGCAGAAATGTCATCTTCGTTGGGGATTTCAATGAGAACGCAAGAACCCTAGGCCCAATTCAGACTTTTATGAATAAAGAAGGATTTCAACAGCTTGTTCAATTTTACACAACTGAAAGTGGTACCATACTTGATCACGTTTACGCGTCTGGACCCATCAAGGTGAATGTTGAGAGACTGCCAACGTATTACAGTTACCACGAAGCTTTAAGTATAACCTTCATTACAAATGGATAATTTCCTTTTTATCATAGCAAATAATTCAGAATCATATATTGTTACTTTACCATAATCCACTGGAGATGTGAAATTTTAAAGATGTTTTCATACAAATTGATATGTATTTCATTTCATACTAAATTTGAACATGGCTTATCAAAAAGGTCTTATGGCGGCTTTGATAGTTCAATATAGGAGATGCTTAATTACTCTTCCAGGTATCAGATCCCAACAATGGAATTAAGGGAACGGGTTAATTGTTTACTCCCCTTTCACAGACTTGTACATTTGTAAATATTACATTTCATTATTATTAGATTTTAGACTTTCTAAAAATGTCCGTGGTTTAGTATTTCTGTTGTTAATAGTTTAATATTTTTGAACAAACATTATTGTACTTATCAGAAGCATTGCTGTACCTATGTATAAAATAACCCGATAATGATTGGCTAAGAAAATATAATGGCACATATCATAAATACTAATCAGAGAAGGAGCTACAAAGGATATAGAGCAAATAACTTTGCAGTTATGGCTTTTTACTGTTCTTGATGTCTAAAAATGTACCTTTGGCAGTCAAAATTAGCAAGCATTTATATATTCATCGAAAAATGAGACTGTCTTAGTGGAGATATCTTTAAAATATGAACTGTTGCAGAATAGAAAAAAGAAATAAAAAATGATATTTTTTTGCAAACAACAATTTGATTAGGATTTTTTAACAAAATATTTATCATACAGAGTAGGAAATATAAAGGTAAAACTACCCAATACATGTTACCTCGCTAAAATATGAATGAAATACTGTCGATTGGGCAATAATAATAATCAATGAATCAAATCAAATCAAATATACTGCAGCTAAAAGGAAATGTAACGGACCATTCATGCAAAAATGGGTCAAAAATGAAATAGTTCTTAACATAATAACGTTTTAATCCAATTTACAAGCATAAATTTGTTCATTTTTTAAAAAGAGTAAGCTCATGGGAGTTGCAAGGAAAACACGAAAACTTAAAAGTTTTTCATTTATAAGAAATAACGATAACAGCCAAAATATCCCTGAAATAGAGCGGAATTGATCTAAAGATATATATAATAAATCAATCATTCAATAAAAGGTCTTAAATTATCTAATCTGGGCTGAATAAGCAGGAAGTTATTTGCCACTAAAAGTGGAACTTCCTGTAAATACCCTCGGTAGCTCATCTTGAACAAATACAAGTTTTCCTGTTGGAATATATAATTTATTTCATAAACAAACTCTTTAAAATTTATTTTTCAGTGTCCTATTCGTTGAACATCAACTTATCATTCAAAACAGAATTATAAATTTAAAAGAAGAAAAACAACACGCATACCGAAAATCATACTCACAAAACCTCAAACCATACAGACAAAAGAGTACAATAAATATGATATCTCCTGCTGACAATCATCATTTGGCAAAGAAAAATTCAATACAGTCCAGTTTTAAAAATTCATCAGTTCTGAATATATTTAAATGCTGCTCTATTTCTAGAGGAGATCAAATATCTCAATGATCAAAAACCCACAAGTATCCCACTTAATTATACAGATTCTTCACAAAATTTAAAAGTAGTAACGTTTCCATCAAAATAATCAATTATAGGAAAACTGATTGTTTGTCTTAAATCTTCTTGGAAATTGAAACGAAGAAACTGCTAATGCAAAAAGTAAAATCCAATGATCTTATTAATTTAATCGTCAAATGTAAATTCTCTTGAGATTCAGTTCAAATCAAAGTTTACATAGGTATTTTCCATTCAATTCCGAAAACACCATTCAGGCATTCACCAAATTGTCTATATCAAAACCCTTCTTTGTTTTAAAGAGTAAGATCTTTTCACTTTTTTGAATCAAATTTCTTCAAGTACTTTTCATAAAGAAACCGATTCCTTAAATACTTATTACTTTTTATTTAAGAGTGTATACATAGAAATATTGCTTCAGCTGTCATAAATATTTCTTAAAATTTTTATAATATTATGCCTGTCTCGAACAAAATGTAAAAAAAAATATATTTTATTCACGATATAAACTTCATACAATTCTATATACGAACATGCTATGACTTAGCGGGCCTCAATCTGTCTTATGAATTCTCAAACATTTGTATCTGTTACTTTGTAAATCCGATAGTTAATTCGAAAGTATAAAATATAGTTTTGAAAAAAAAATTAGACTTTTAATGATACATGTAATATCATTCATTCAGAAACAAAATCTGGATTTGTTAAAGCTATATATGACATATTAGTGTTTTATTTGTAAAGACATGAATTTATGTGGTGTCTCATCGCGCTATATAAGTTATATACTTTCTGAAAATAAGACAATTCTCCTCCATCACTTTAAAAAGTTATGAAATATTGTTTGGTAAAAATTATTTTCTCTCCGAGTCGGATATTAAACCGCCTCTTATTGAATTATTCATGATCACATGGTCTCGCATGCTCAGAGCAAAGAATGGTCCAATCTCGTGAATGAGCCGAAACGCATAATGGTGTACTACCGTAACGTTTTACTACAACCACTTGGGAAAGGGAAATTTAGGATGCAATTTCAAATGACGGCTGGAGAATTCCCATGAATTTTCATCTATCATCGTCACTTCTGGTTAAAAAGGAAGTAGCAAAAAATTGCTTATTTTTGCATTAATTAACATAGCTTTGCAGGACTTTTGAGCATTATTTCTCAATTTTGTTAAAAATATAAGCTACTTTCGGTCAAACA